TTTATACATGATATGTAATTTATATGTACATTTATATGTACATTTATATATACATTAATTCAATTAATATTAGTAAAATAATATTAATTAATATATGATAATAAATGAAAAATAAACTCATATATGTATATGCAACATGTTTTCCATTCCCCCTTTTTTTTAGAAAAGTGACTTCTTATCGATATTATCGTGTGTAGAATTTCCTATCGTGCGACGGCGCATGCGCGCTTGCAGTGATTGGTCGCGGTCGCGCACCACGTGACCACGGCGCGTATATACGCGCCGACGGGCGCTAAAATTCGCCACTCGCTCTTTCGATCCTTTGCGACAAGGTTCCCCTGTTTGTGCTGAAAAAAAATATTACCGCATCCCCGTTTCGCATCCCCATCTCCATTCCTCTTTTTTCTTTTCCTTAACTTTAACTTAGCTTGTTCGATTGCTCTCGCGAGAGAACAGAACGCAAATTTCTTCCTCGAACACGGTACGCGCTCTTCCGCTGGAAGTAACTCGCGACGGGGCGACACGTCGCGTATTTAGAGAACGTCTCGAAATTTGCGATTCATCTCTAAACGTCCTTTCGCGATCTTGCTTCTTCCTTCCACTTCACCACTCCGCCGATCACCATCGGAATGCGCGAGGACTCTCTCGAGTAGAATAACGCGAGTGACTCGCGGGAACCATCTGGATTCGAACGCGCATTTCTTCCGCGGCAAATAGCATCGCCTCCTCTACGTAAAATAACGCACGAAAAGAAGGAAATCTACTCTAGAATTCGACACGGAAACGCAGGGGTGTCGACGAAGGCGAAGGAAAGAAGGGCAAGAAAAGGAACGACGACGCGCTAATCGGGCATGGGTCTGACGGATACCAGTTTCGAGTTACTTCTGACCCTGTGGCGAGTCTTCGTCGTGGGAGTCCTGCCGTGGACTGAGGAGCCGCGCGGTCAGTGTCGCGGTGTCTCGCCAAGCTGCAACATTCACGGCAACACCGTCGCTCGTTAGTCGTCTTCGGCGCGACACTCGGTAAGTACACGCATCCCGCCTACCTCCTGCATTCCGTCTTTCTCGTAGCGACGCTACTCAATTCGAGAAAATTTCCGCGGCTAAGAACGCATCCGTCGTCCCCAACGGGCAGATCGATGACGATGGGTTCGCAATCTTCGGATAGTGATTCGAATTCTCTTGTTTATCTTTTAAAAATGAAATATTTTTTTCTCGGACACGATACTAGAAAAAGAAAGAATAAAATTGGATGGTACCGTGATTGTACGTATTTTAAAGAATGATCGTTATTTTAGATTCTGGGAATCAATTGTGTATCTTGAGATGAGATGGAAATTGTAAAAGCGAACAAGTTCACTAGATGTTGACCAATGAAATTATAAATATTCTAATGAATTTACTCATTTTTGTAATTTCCTTTCAAGTACACAATGATCCCCTGATACAATCATGAATTTTCGAATAGTGTCGTGTGTATACAATTTAAAAATGCATAGGTTCTATAGATTTCTTCGCCGTTTATCATAATTTTTCGATATGCATTTAGATTTTATATTAATCGTAAAATAATGTTAGGATTTTCCGGGAAATCCTAAATTTAGGATTTCCTGGAAAATTGTTATACAACGTTAGATTTATTTGCATGTTTTCAATAAATCATAAAATCGAACGTTAACATGTTGAATACTTTATGTTTTTATGTTTGTTTACGAATACGATGCTACATTTCCTTTGTGAAATGTTTGTTTTGTTATAAATCAATTATTTTCGAAAATTTTTAGTTTTATCCACGAATGTTATTAATTATTAATCGAATGTTATTAATTAATAATTAATTATTAAATTAAGTATTAATCGATTTCATATATCTTGCGGTAGTTTCATACTTAAATAAAAAATTTCATATAAAAATATTATTTGTAATTATAATTTTACTCTATAATTATTTTACTTTTCAGCATCGACATTTTATATTTTTAATTATAATTTAGAACATATAATAATAATAATTCTTGATTTATAATTGAGAATTTTGAAGTGATTGAATGGTTTGATATAATAAAAAGTATAACATGAAAATAATAAAACATGACTTTCCACATAGTTTATGTAATAAAAATAGAATCCTGAATAATTTTATGTATTTAAGATTATCCATAAATTTTTTGAGCCGTTTTATTGTTGAATTAAAAAAAGTATCGCTATTGAAAAGTTACGGTGAATATTAATTGCGCTCCAAATTTTTGTCAAGAATTCAAATTAAAATTCTCAAGATATCAAACTGATCAGAGTTTATAATTAGAATCAAGATAAAAAAATCTAAGAATGAAATAAGGCTAAAAGAATGAAATAAATTGTAAACAATAAATTAAACTGGACCGTTATATAAATGAATTAAATAAATAAAAAAAGGCAAAATATGATTGAGATTAGATCTTAGTATATAATAGATAATATTTTATAAATTTTAAATACATTTTTTAGTTATATAAACTAGATGCCGATTATTATTGGACATGATAGTAATTATAAGCGAGAGCTGAAATAATAATATCAATTGATCAATATAATGATGTATCTCAATAAGACTAATAAGTATCTTAAAACAATATTGTTGAAAAAATATATTGTTGTAATATTACATAATATTTTTCGCAATAAAGTCTTCCCTTAGAAAAAAATGTTTCAATATGCTAATTAATTATTCAATAACTGATGATATTTCATTAATTAATCAGTATATTGAAATACTTTTTATTAAGGACTTGTAGTGCTTTAAGATATTTATTAGTCTTTTTTAGCATTATTAGTAAATTGACGGTAAATTTAATTTATGTTTTTTTTTTAGTTTCAATTTACGATTATTTACATACATAAAATATCATTAGGTACCAAGGTCTAATCTATATTTATCCCTTCTTTAACTTGTAACTTATATATAACTTATGTAACTTATAAATATTGTACGTTTATATTTTAAATAATTTATCCATGCGCACAAATCCATGCGCACAAAATAATT